GAGATTTTGAAGCTTGTGAAGTCCACATTGATACCATTGGGCTGCAGGGTTCCCAAGCGGAATATGAGTTGCTGTTCCTGCAACGTTCGGGTAGCATCGTTGTGGCACTGCAGGAGTCCCAGGATGGACATGTCGTCTGAGGAATGGGAGGGGGTGTTGAAATGGTTCGCGACTGGGAGGTGCAGTTGTTTAGTGCGAACCGAGTGTAGATGTTCTGCAAAGCGGTCCCCAAGTCTCCGCTTGGTTTCCCCGATGTAGAGGAGGCCACAACGGGAACAGCGGATGCAGTATACCACATTAGCAGATGTGCAGGTGAACGTCTGCTTGATGTGGAATGTCTTCTTGGGGCCTGGGATGGGGGTGAGGGAGGAGGTGTAGGGGCAGGTGTAGCACTTCCAGCGGTTGCAGGGAAAAGTACCGGGTGTGGTGGGGCTGGAGGGGAGTGTGGAGCGGACAAGGGAGTCACGGAGAGAGTGGTCCCTCCGGAAAGCAGATAAGGGTGGGGAGGGAAAAACGTCTTTGGTGGTGGGGTCGGATTGCAGATGGCGGAAGTGAGATAGCAGGAGTTTTGGCATCAATACTGTATTAGGAAGGCTGGGAATGATACTTTTCTGAGATCTTGAAGTTTTAAGGGCTCTTTGGCTTGAAACGAGAGGCGTGTCAATTTTCTTGTACAAGTATCCATTCTGATTGATAAACAGACATTGACATGTCGACCAGGTATCCTGAACTGAACCTGTCTGTTTTGCCTGCATTTGGTCCAGATCCTTCTAAACCTTCCTATTCCTGTACCTGTCTTTTAAATGTTGTAATTGTACCAGTCTCCACCACTTCCTCTGGCAGCTCATTCCATACATGCACCACACTCTGCATGAAAAATTTGCCCCTTAGGTACCTTTTAAATCTTTCCCCTCTCATCTTAAACCTATGCCTTCTAATTTTGGACTCGCCTACCCTGGGGAAAAGACCTGGCCTACTTACCCTATCCACGTCCCTTATGATTTTATAAACCTCCATAAGGTCACCCGTTAGCCTCCAAAGTTCCAATTCAGTTTTAACAAAGCCCAAGCCAATTTGACATTTTCCTTTCCAATTTAAAAAAAAATTCTCCTTGGATGTTTCAAGTTATTAGCCTGAATGTTTTGAAAAGGAACATAATCTGTGGTGAAGAAGGGTCGTTGGACCCGAAACGTTAACTCTGATTTCTCTCCACAGATGCTGCCAGACCTGTTGAGATTTTCACGCAACTTCTGTTTTTGGCACTGGATTTAGCCTTTTAACTCCATGGATGCTGCCGGTCAGGCTGAGGTTTTCCAGCAATTTCTGTTTTCATTTCATGATCTGAATACTGACTGTCTTATAAAGATGAATAAAATGAATATTTTAGAACATGAAGTTCAGATAAATAAGCAATTGTATGAATTAGGATTAAAGGCTTTAGCAGCGGATACCATGGTTTCCATTTGTCATGGGAAATATTTCCTAATTCCTAATTTATTAAACTGTAGACTATTAGCATGAAAATTTTGCATAATAAACAGTTGATGGTTTTATTACATCCAACAAGAACATTTTGTTGAATTGCATAGCAAGTCAGGGTGAGTTACCTTTTCACTAGAGTTTTAGCTAGCCTGAGGTCGCCGTAGTTATTTTTGTGGCATATAAAATAAGGTGATTATGTGAGAAATTTCAAGTTAATTTTCAACAGGTTAACACTCAAGAGTCATATACATTGTCTACCAAACATACTCAACACCCTTTGATCCCACATTTTCAGCAAGATCTATTTATGTTAAAATATGTCAATGGTTCTCCTGTAGGGGCGTTCAGCATTCCTTGGTATTTGTTGACACCCCTAATGGCAAATGCATTTTGTTCCTCCCATCTTCATCAGACATAGTCAGCATGGATTTACAAAAGGGAATTCATTCTTGACGAATCTACCGGAATTCTTTGAGGATGTAATTAGTAAAGTTGATCAGCTGGAGCCAATAGATGTGTTTCATTTGGACTTTCAGAAGGCTTTCAACAAAGTCCAAAATAAGAGATTAATGTGTAAAATTAAAGAGTGTGGGATTAGGGGTAGTGTATCAAAATGGATAGAAAACTGGCTAGCAGACGGGAAGCAAAGTGGAAGAATATATGAGTATTTATGTGAATGGAAGGTAGTGGCTAGTGGAGCACTGTGCTAGGACCCCAGCTATTCACAATATATGTGAGTGATTTAGATGACAGAACGAAATGTAATATCTCAAAATTTGCAGATGACACGAAGCTGGATGGGAGGGTGAGCTGTGAGGAGGATGCAGAGATGCTTCAGTGTGATTTGGATGAGCTGAGTGAGAGGACTGCTGTAGTGTAATGTGGATAAAAATAGGAAGACAGACTATTATTTGAATGGCTATAAATTGAGAGAGGGAAGTGTTCAATGAGACCTGGGTGTCCTTGTACACCAGTTTCTGAAAGTAAGTGTGCAGGTGCAGCAGGCAGTAAAGAAGGTATACTGTAGTTGGCCTTCATAGCAACAGGATTCAAGTACAGGAACAATAATTCCTTACTGCAATTATACAGGGCATAGGTGAGGCCACACCTGGAAATATGGCATGCACTTTTGGTCTCCTTATCTGAGGAAGGATTCTCTGGCTACAGAGTAAGTGCAGTAAAGATTCACCAAATTGATGCCTGGGATGGCAGGACTAACATATGAGTTAGTCAGTTAGGACTATATTCACTGGACTTTAGAAAAATGAAAGGGAATCTCATACAAATCTACAAAATTCTAACAAGACTATACAAGATAGATGCAGGAAAAATGTTCCCGACGCAGAGTCTAGAACCAGGGGTCATAGTTAAAGGATACGGGGCAAATACTTTTGGACTGAGATGAGGAGAAATTTCTTCACCCAGAGGGAGTGAGCCTGTGGAATTCACTGCCACATAAAGCAGTTGAGGCCAACATTATGTTTTCAAGAAGGAGGTAGATCTAGCTCTTGAGGCATCAAGAGGCACCTCTAGGCTCTGAAGCACTTTGTGGGAAAGGCATGATCAGAATATTGAGCTCAATGATCAGCCATGATCATAATGAATGGCAGAGGAGACTCAAAGGGTCGAATGGCCTACCCCTGCTCCTATCTTCTATGTTTCTATGTTTCTCTTCTGCATTTGATGCACCGTTGGCTGAGTTTTACAGGAAAAAACATGTGCAGGACACACTAAATGATGAAATAGATGCTAATGTATTACATGACAGATAGTTATATGTTCACCCCACAGGTTGTCCTTATGCAGTTCAGAACTGACCATATCTTTGTAGTCCATGAATTAAAAAAATAATTACGCTGTAGTCTGTTACCTTTGGAAGGACAAAACTTTGCTCCCTCATAAATCATAGAATCCCTACAGTGTGGAAACAGGCCCTTCGGCCCAACAAGTCCACACTGATCCTTGGAGCATCCCACCCAGTACCATCCCTCTATAACCCACCTAACCTGCACATCCCTGAACACTAGGGGCAGTTTAGCATGGCCAATCCACCTAACCTGCACATCTTTGGACTGTGGGAGGAAACTGACATAGACATGGGGAGAATGTGCAGATTCCACACAGACAGTTGCCCAAGGAACTGAACCGAGGTCCCTGGTGCTGTGAGACAGCAGTGCTAATCACTGAGCCACCTTATGGAACTCCCAATTTAGGCACTCAAAGGATGCTAGGAATATGTAGGACAGACAAAGATCAATTCTGTCTCTCACTGACCCAAGCACACAGAAAGAAGATATACCTCTCTATATGAATGTAACAAAATAGAAAAGAAAAGGAATTCTTGCATTAAATACGGATAATACCTGAACACCTGTTATTCAATTTCATGG